GAAGCACAGCATATCCTGTGTCTTATGCCCTGTGCCCCCCTTTCTCAAAAAAAAAAAAAAAAAGACTTGGGGGTGGCTAGCACGTATCCGGGGTAAAGAGACATCAGTGCTGCCCAGGGGACCAGAGGTGGCCGTGCTTTGGCCGCTCGTCTCCTCACTCTTCTCCTTTACTCCCAGCAGCCTTTGTCCTCCATCTTCCTCCCAGGCCCCGAGTTCCCAGACCTTGTGCACACCAGGTCCCCCCCCACTGTGCTCAGGAGAGTGGTGCAGTTTATGGGGACCAAAAACCTCACTGGCATTTGTCCATAAAGGAAATGCAGTGATGGCTGAGGGCAGCAGACTCTCATTTCTGTTCTAGACTTTCTTCCTTCCTGCCCCGGAAACTGGCTTTACTCCTGGACTGGGACCCAAACATCTCTAATGCTGTCATCCCCGGCAGTGTACTGGAACACATAGAGGTAGCATTTGGGCCCAGGTTCAAATCCCTCCTTGCCCACAGTTGAGTGGATCCTTGACATTGAACCTCTCTGAGTTGGTTCCAGTCTTACTTATTTTTGTTTTAGGAGCTATAGATGCATAGTCTTCACCCAGCTCGTATTGTGGTGGAGATGTACACAGAGGACAGGGCCATTTAAACACCAGTGTGAGAGGTTAAGGCAAGTTGTTCGTAAGAAATAGGCAGGTTGGTGTCACAGAAAGTAGTGGAGGAACGTGGCTTTTTTTCTGCGGGATCCAGGGGAAGCTGCCTTACTTAGGGAGCTGAGGTGGGAGAAGAGGTGGAAGGAGCAGGAAGAGTCAAGGGCAGAGGCAGGGCAGCAGCGGTGTGAGAGGTCTAGGTGTATACGGAAGGGCTTGCGTGTCAGCACATGTGGCTGCAGAGTGGACGGCAGCGAGGTAGACCCAGGGACCGAGGGGTGGGGCTCACGGTGCAAGGGGAGGAGTCTGTTCTGTGCTGAGCGCTGTGGGAGACCTAAGGCTTTTCCTTGAGGAGCCACCGCCTTGGCTCATGGTCGCCAAGAAGCAGAGAGAGAGCGCAGGAGCATGTGAGCTGGGGATGAGCTACATCCCTCACAGCCAAGCCCCGAGCCCCCACGACCCACTTCAGCAGCCAGGCTCAACCACCTAAATCTCCGGCAGCTCCCAGCAGTGCCACCCATTCCGGGTCAGGCCTTCAGCACGTGAGTTTTAGGGAGCATCCCAGATCCAAGCTGTGACGGCCTGTCTGCCCAATAGTGTAGGTGTGCCCCATCTATGTCATGGGCTCCATAAAGGGGCCACATGTGTCACCCACACATCGTAGAGGATGTCACCTAGCCAAATATCCCAGTTATTTCTGTTTGTGTCTTTCGTCTTCTTAGTGGTCTCACGTGAAAGTGAGTGTTTCCGTTTTGCTATGAAGTAACCTCCGAGAGGCTGTTCTTAGGCACATCTGGCACCATAGCCAGTGGCCCAGCCTCTGGCTGCACAGTGCTCACAAATGGGGAGCTCTAGTAACACAGCGAAGAGTCCAGGAGAGGCTTTGGGCCAAAGACAGCTTCCCCATGTGCATGAGGAGTTTCGCCTTCTCGGGCCGTAGTGAGTTAGTGGTCAGTGTGCTGGGTAGATGAAGAGCACGTTTGCCTGTGCCCGCTGCTGGGCTGGAAGGGGCGCCCTGAGCTCCCAGGAAGTGCAGAGTGGGAATGCAGTCCTGGGAAGCTGCTTCTGGAGAATGCGCTGTGAGGCTGAAGATCACGTTGGAATGAGGAACAGCAGGGACGCTGGTCATGATAGAAATAATAGCAGCTGGGCGAGGGGACACATAGCTCTATTCCCAGCACGCTGGGAGGCTGAGCCAGGAAGAACCCAAGTTGGAGTCCAGCCTGGGCCACATGGTGACTTAGCAAGACCCTCTCTCAGAATAAAAAGAGGTTGGGGATGTAGCTCAGTGTGAAGGCCTTTAATGCCAGCCCCAATATCACCAAGGAAAAGAAAGAAAAGACATTAGGTACCAGTGAAAATAGCCCCTGCTTCCTGAGTAGCTGCTGTCTGTTAAGCCCCAGGTGAACATAGCGGAGCCATCACTGAGGGCTGGTGTTTCCCACATTTCTCCTAGTGGTGCGAGGGGTAGGCCTTGCTGTGCTTCCTGGAGCCTGACAGGACATTAATTTCATAAAGGTTTTTCACACATTCGAAGACATAATTAAACTGAAATGACAAAGTGTGGCTTGCGTCCTGCTTTCATCAATCGAGTAGGGATCACACTTACTCCTAACACAACCTCCTCATCCTTTGGCGTAGCCAAGCAAGTTTGGATGGAGGTGGTGATGGTCAAGAGGCCCTGAGTCTCAGCCTTGCAGTGCTTCTCCCAGGACCAAGCTGGAGGTTTCTTTGGTCTCTTTGAAGGACAGCAGGATGATTTAGAGGAAAACAGCATTGGCTTCTTCCACATTCCCTATTATCTTTTTAATTGGCAGTTTTCTCTTTAATTGGACCTTTGGTCTTGTGACTGCAAAATTTCTCCCTCCTCTGTCACACACACCTTCCTACCTTGGGAAACCCAGCTTTGCAGAGGGATTATCCTAAAGCCAAGCCCCCTGTGTGTGGTGAGCATCCCAACCTAACTGCTGTCTGGAACCGACAAGGTGATTGTTAAATGTTCTAAGCATTAACTGTAGGAAGAGTCACTGTTTTCTAAAAATTGTTATGTGCATCTCAGAATTAGTTTGCAAAACTGGAGGTGAAAAATGTCAATTGTCTTAACCTCCAATGATGTCACACCTGGCAGTGGCGGAACTGGGAATCCAACCAAGCCAATCGCGGACTTCTCAGCAGCTGAGGTCACCATCCCTTCCTCCTCCTTTCTCTCCTCAGCCCTCTCCAGTGCAGCCTTTCTTCCCACCACTCCAAAAAACTCATCTTGCCAAGGTTTACAGTGACATCCATGTGGCCACATCCATTGATCAACAATCAGTTGTCAGGCTGAGGAGATAGCTGGGTGGTCTGAGTGCCTGCCTGGCAAGCACAAGGACCCCCGAGTTCAATCCCTGTACTACTGCATGCCATGCTGGCCCCAGGCCACGTCGGCCACTGAAAGCAGGTGTGGTGGTGCACATCTGTAATCCCAGCGCTGGAGAGGCTGAGACAGGAGGATCACTATGAATCTTAAACTGCATAGAAAGACCCTGTACCAAATAAATAAATAAAAGATTCTTTAAAATTAAAGAAAAAAATCAGTTGTCGTCTTAAACAACAACTAACAACATCCTTAGAAAAAAATCTCTTTTCCTGCTTTCCTTCTCTCTCCACCCCACCCTCGGCCACCGGGGTTTCTGCTTTTCAGTCCTCTCGCCTTTCTCACTTCATGGTGTTACTCCATGGGCCGGTCCTCCAGCTCCTCTCATCGTTCTACACTTGTTCCGTAGTGACAGCAACGAGTCTCCCCACTGACTTGTGCAGACTGGCACCCTTTATCTGCGGCTGCAGTGCCCTCCACTACCTACTGCCTGGCCCCCAACTCCTGGGACACCCAACAGGCTTTCCCAACTTGACATCTTATATCAAATCCAGCCCCTGCTCTCTGTCCCACCTCACCCCACACCCACCCCACTTGTAGTCATCATGTCCCAGTGATGGGTATCACTACTTTTGATTCCTGCCATCTAAATATTAGTCTGTTTTTCTTTTCTCTTTATTTTTTCTGTTTGGAGACATCTTTAACTTCTTGGTTCCACTGCCTTACATCTAGTCTTTTGGCAAATCCTCCTATTAACCTTAAAATTACATCTGAAATCTAATCCACAGCTACCACCCTTGCCACACAAGGTAGAGTCTTAGCCGCTCCCTTAATTGGGCCACCAGTTCCATGCCAGTGCCCCTGTCCCTGCATGTCCTGTGAAATTGTCAGCTGCTTCCAACGATCTGGAAGCTCCTCCAGGTCTAGCTGCAGCCTTTGCGGCCACCCCGGCCCATGCTGCCTCCCGCCCGCTCCTTCTCCACCCTCCTTGCTGACTTCCCAGCCTGCTGGTCGCTGGGCTGCTGTCAGCTGGCCAGGCACACTCCATCTCGGGGACTCGGGCTTTAGAGACCTGCGTTTCTCCTGGTGAGCTCCGCCTTCCAGATTCCCACATGGCTCCCCACTCACTGTTTTTTGAAATCTCTCCAACAGCCACCCAAGCCTTCTTGTCTGAGTCTGTTTTCTGTTGCTATAATAGAGTACCGCAAGCTGTGTAGTGCACGAACACTCCAGGTCTGTTGGGCTCAGGATTTGGGAGGCTGGGACTTTTACGATCAGGCAGCCACATCGGGTGGCTTCTTTGCCGCTAGTGGGGACTCTGCAGCTCCGAGGGGTGTGGGGCGTCTCTTGGCGATCCTCCTTCCCTTTTGATCTCATGTAATCCTGTCTTCTAATGCTTCCCCTCCAAAGACCGTTAAGGTTAATGACCTTGGAAATTAAACTTCAGGGACACACCCAAAACATAGCATTCCCTAGACCAAACAAGCACTTCCAGGCATTCTCTCCTACCCAGTCTGCTGTAATGTGTGGGTGGCCCTACAGTGTAGGTCTCAGATGCCCAGGCCATGGAATGGCATCTGGTCCTGGGCAAGCACCAGGTAGTGGAGAAGGGTGGACTGGATTGAGTGACAGAGCTGGCTCCTGATGCGCAGGTTCAGAAGTCACCATGTGGGCTGTGTGGAACCTGCTCTGCCCAGCTGACTTCTGCGTCTCTTGCCTTCTAGGTCTATGGCTGTCCGTGTTCTGTGAGGGTTTTGCTATGACCGTGGGCCCCTTGCAAAGTCAGATCTGCCCCTCATCGCCGCAGCCACCCCAGGCCCGCGCATCTCAGCCCCCGCATCACTGTTGCCATGGGCAGCGTCAGCAGCCTCATCTCTGGCCATGGCTTCCACAGCAAGCACTGCCGGGCCTCACAGTACAAGCTGCGCAAGTCCTCGCACCTCAAGAAGCTCAACCGCTACTCAGACGGGCTGCTGAGGTTCGGCTTCTCCCAGGACTCTGGTCATGGCAAGTCCAGTTCCAAAATGGGCAAGAGCGAAGACTTCTTTTACATCAAGGTCAGCCAGAAGGCCCGGGGCTCCCACCGCCCAGATTACACAGCACTGTCCAGTGGTGATGTCGGGGGCCCAGCTGGGGTGGACTTCGACCCGTCTACCCCTCCCAAGCTCATGCCCTTCTCCAGCCAGTTGGACATGGTAAGCAGGGCCTCTGGTGAGGGTGGGTGGACAGGAAAGGGCAGGGAGGGCCTGGGAAAGGGGGCATGGGAACCTGAGCTTGAGCAGGGAGTTAGCAGCTGTCCCTAGAGAGACTCCAGGGGTGAGTGTTCTTGCTTGCTGCCCAAGAGTGGGCCAGCAGGCCTGGAGGTCTTTGGCTGAATAAGGGCATGGATTTTGTCATCGTCATCATCAAGGGTTTGGGAAAAGAGTCCAAAGTCTGGGAGCTCAGAAAGCCCAACACTCAGTCAGCTTGGAGACTCATGAGTCCCTCCAGGGGACACGAAAACATTTCCTACAGGAAAGAGCCCAGGCTGTTATATACAGGTTGAGTTTGCTTTATGGACAAGCTTTGGACCCAGAATTCAGGTGGTTTGGGAGTTTGGCTGTGGGTCTGTGTGACACTGGGACTTGAATCCAGTTGTGCTGCCAGTGGGCTACTACCTCTCCAGCCGTTTATATTTGTGGGACAGAGCCTCATTAAATAGCCCAGGCTGGGCTGGAACTTGTAATCCCCTTGCCTTAGACTCCCTAGTATTCAGCCTGCCTGTGCCACCCTGCTTGGCTGGATTTTGGAATATGTGCCTGTCCGTGAGTTATCTTAGGCTTATGATACAGGGAGAAACAGGACATTTGCTTCATTTATACCTTATGCACAGACCGGAGATAATTCTATGTCATACTTATAATAGTTTGTTCACAATGTAAAATTTCATAGTAGGACATTTTCTACTTGTGGGTTCATGTCAGAGCTCAACAAAGTTTTGGACTTTGGAACTTTTCAGATCTGGGACCTTGGAATTAGGAATACTCAGTCTGTAATGGAAAAGGTCCCACTGTGTTTGCATAGAGCTTACAGATGTTACCTTTTTCTTTTAAAATTTTGTTTTCTGGGGGGATAGAGTCAGAGTCTTGTTTTGTATTCCATGTGGGCTGTACCTCACAAGCCTCCTGTCTTGGCCTCCCAGGTGCTAGGATAACAGGCATGCACCACTACAGACACGAGCTTCTAGCTTGTCAGAAAAATGGCTTATAAAATGCAAAGTGCTTTCACAATGGAAATTACAAGTTTAAAAAAAGCTGGGCCTGGTGATGTGTGCCTGTACTTGTAGCATTCTGGGAGGCTGAGGCAGGAGGATCCTAAGCTCAAGCCTATCATGGATAACTAAGCAAGACCTGGTCTCAGAAAATAAAAAGAACTGGTATTTGATCAGTGTGAAGGCCCTGCTTCAGGTCCTGGTTTTTTTTTTTTTTATTTGTGTGTGTGTGTATGTGCGTGCGTGGCCAGCTCAGCCCACCAGGGGGCGGGGCTGGCTGGCATGTGGTGCTGGGGGACTGAACCGTGGCCCCCTTGCTTTTAGGTTGTTCCAAGTAGGTGCTTTAGACCACTGAGCCATCTCACCAGCCCTCAGGTCCTGGTTTCATACACACACACACACACACACACACACACACACACACACAGAGGAATGGCTGTTTCCCATGATCTTCCACTTGTGGGAGGAGGCCATGTTTCAGTTCCTGGCTCCAGGCTTGATGGAAGAGGCCCTGAGGGGGAAGAGGGGACAGGTCTACAGGACTCACGCAAGCATGTCCAGCCAGCCCTTTCCTTGCGTACAGACACTGGATGAGGAGCCCTGGTGCAGCCCTCTTGGCACATGAACCTAGAGAGCATGTGTCATTTCAGGAGGTTGGCATAGGCTGGCATAGTGCCCCAGCCAGCATTAAGGACACTCCCTGGGCACAGAGGGTTCTCACTGTTGGATGGAGAGGTGTGCTGCTGGGAGAGAAAGCCACAGCATGGGCTGCAGGATCAGGGTGGCGCTCAAGGTCAGCACACACATGGGGGAGGGGTGGCCTGAGGATGGAGGGGGCACCTGTAATCAGTGTGGTTCTTTACCTCCCTAGGGCTCGGAGAAGGGCCCGGTGAGGCCCACTGCATTCAAGCCGGTGCTGCCGCGGTCGGGAGCTGTCCCGCACTCTTCCCCTGAGAGTGCTAGCCACCAGCTGCACCCGGTCCCCCCAGACAAGCCCAAGGATCAGGAGGCCAAGCCGGGCCTGTGCTCTGGGGCGCTGTCCGACTCCGGTCGCAACTCCATGTCCAGCCTGCCCACACACAGCACCAGCAGCAGCTACCAGCTGGACCCTCTGGTCACACCTGTGGGGCCCACTAGCCGTTTCGGGGGCTCAGCCCACAACATCATGCAGGGCATCCTCCTGCAGGACAGCAACATGACGAGCCTAAAGGCGCTGTCATTCTCTGATGGGGGCAGCAAGCTGGCACACGCAGGCAAGGTGGACAAGAGCGCCTCATGCGTGCGCTCCCCTATCTCCACGGACGAGTGCACCATCCAGGAGCTGGAGCAGAAGCTGCTGCAGCGTGAGGGTGAGCTGCACAAGCTGCAGCGGAGCTTCGATGAGAAGGAGTTCGCCTTTAGCCAAGCCTTCGAGGAGCGGGCGCGGCGCAGCAGGGACGAGCAGGACGGCCCTGAGCCCAAGGCTGGTGGTGGGAAGCTGAAGCAGGCAGCGTCGCAGAAGAGCCAGCGCACGCAGCAGGTCCTACACCTGCAAGTGCTCCAGCTGCAGCAGGAGAAGCGACAGCTGCGGCAGGAGCTCGAAAGCCTCATGAAGGAGCAGGACCTGCTGGAGACCAAGCTGCGGTCGTACGAGCGGGAGAAGACCAACTTTGCGCCGGCACTGGAGGAGACGCAGTGGGAGGTGAGGCCGTGCCTGGCTCAGGCTGTGGCGAGCAGGCGCTGGGGTCAGTCTTTCCCTTCAGAGGGTGCCAGCGCATACTACCCTGGCACATAGGCTCCCAGGCAAACTCAGAGCGGTGTAGCTCCAGCAGCACCCTTGAGGTGCCCAGCACAGGGTGTACCAGCCAAGCCACTGATTGAAGAGCCAGAACCCAGACATGCTGGGCCCAGCAGAGTGAACGGGCCAATGGCCACCTCACCCTGTCTGCTCACTGGGGGCTCACGGGAGGCATAGCCATGCCTGCTTTTATCAGGTCTAAGAAGAGCATAGGTTTGTTTGTGGTTTGGAGGGAAGGAATCCCACCCCTCCTAAGAGGGATTCTGTTAACGGCAAATCCCAGTGAGGGAGGCCTCCCCCAGCAGTGTAAGTGTGGTTTCTCCTTAGCCAGCGCAGATGGAAACAGGAGAGGAAAGAAAGACACGCGCGCATGCACGCATGCGCACAGGCAGACATCCGCGCATGCTCAAAACAGGCTTTAGAATGAGGCTGGGGCCGGGGAGATGAGATGGGGGCTGGGGAGATGAGATGGGGGCTGGGGAGATGGCTCAGTGGAGTAAGCGCTTCCCTGACAAGCTCAAGGGCCTGAGTTCAATCCCTAGTTCCGCCAAAAAAAAAAAAAAAAAAAAAAAATCTAGAATGAGGTGTGTGGACCTGGCCCACGCATAGCCCCAGGGACCAGGAGGGCAGCACTGTGGTTCACCCCAGAGTCCTACCTGCAAAATGGTGAGGGGCTCCGTCTGCCTAGACCAGCACTAGGCCTTAATGGGACGACTGACTCTGATATACCTGGAACTTCCCGTCTTTGTTCTGGAAAGAGGAGATGGGCGTCTGCAGGGGGAGAGAAGAGAAGCATCCTATGGAGAAGAGAGGGCTGTCTTCATTCTGACTGCCTGTCCCAGAGGAAGTAAGCCTCAGGGCTGTGACTGACCCCCTCCCCACCTGTATGGTTGCCACAGACCCCACCCTGGCTCTTGTTTCCAGCCACTTTGGGGGCATCTCAAAGTATCCGTCCTCCTTGCCCAATCTGGAGCTTAGTCATTACCCTGGCCTTGTTCTTCACCTGTCTTTGTAAAACAAAATATATTTTTTTTATTGTTTTTTGTTTTTGTTTTTGTTTTTGTTTTTTGCGGAACTGGGGATTGAACTCAGGCCCCTGTGCTTGCCAGGCAAGCGCTTATTCCACTGAGCCATCTCCCCAGCCCCCTGCAAAATATTTTTTTAAAAAAATACATAGAACAAAATATATTGTTCAACTATTTATCCTAATTATTGCAGAGAATTTATTATGAGGGAAGTTTATGGAGTTTATCAAGCACCAACTTTATTGAATCCTTGTAGCCACACCATGGAGCAGGTATTACTCCTATTCCTCGATTCAGTTAAGGACTGGGAGGCCCAATGTGCTTGAGTGACTTGCCCAAGATCTGCTACGTATTATGCGTCAGAGCCAAGATTTGATTACCAGTGTGGACACACAGTTCACGTTTTTAATCACTGCCCCTACCATATTGCTACTGTGTGACACATTCAGGATCACCCAGACCCTAAACAATGGCCAGGACTCAGGGCCAGCCTATCCCTCCACGTGACTCTGTGGCTCCCTCCATGAAACAGCTGCAGGCTTCCTGTTAGTCAGCTTTCTGCCCCTGGAACAAGATACCTGAGAAATTAGCTTATTAAGAGAAAAGGTTAACTGGCTTCCAGTTTTGGTCCTTTGGATTTAGGGCTCTGATGGGAGAGCACATAGTGGCAAGAGTGTGTGACAAGCAAACCTGCTTAGAGAAGGAGGGGAGGAGGTAAGGGTCCCATGGTGCCCTTTGAGAACACACTGACCATGACCTGGGAACCAGATATTTTACATGGGCCTCCAGTGAGGTCCAAGATCTGAGTGTCCTGCAGACTGTGCAGTGTCTTGCGGGGAGCCGAGGGGAGAGGAAATTCAAAGGAAGCCTCCAGTCTTGTTCTGGGGGTCCCTGCTCAGGAGCCACGTCTTGGTCTTCCATGACTCCTGTGCCTCAGCCAACCTGATTGACCTGGGTGTTCTGTGGAACCCCAAGTGGCCAAGACCACACAGACACACGGCTCCAAGTCAGTGGCCTTGTTCCTCACTGTCTTGGCCAGACTCCTGTGGACAGCAGGTGTGGGAGCAGTGGAGCAGGGGTGGGGAGGAGCAGCAGGCCCTGCTGGCAGGTGGGCCATGGGGCCCAGCAGGCCAGCTGACACTCACCTGTGGCTCTCCCTATCCTCACCTGGCAGGTGTGCCAGAAGTCCGGCGAGATCTCTCTCCTAAAGCAGCAGCTCAAGGAGTCCCAGACCGAGGTGAACGCCAAGGCCAGCGAGATCCTCAACCTGAAGGCACAGCTGAAGGACACGCGGGGCAAGCTGGAGGGCATGGAGCTGAGGACGCAGGACCTGGAGGGCGCCCTGCGCACCAAGGGCCTGGAGCTGGAGGTATGCGAGAACGAGCTGCAGCGCAAGAAGAACGAGGCGGAGCTGCTGCGCGAGAAAGTGAACCTGCTGGAGCAGGAGCTGCTAGAGTTGCGGGCGCAGGCTGCCCTGCAGCGGGAGAGCGCAGCCCTGGGGCCGGGGCTGGCAGCTGTGCCCACCTTCTCTGAGGACATCCCTGCCCTGCAGAGGGAGCTGGAGCGGCTGCGGGCCGAGCTGAAGGAGGAGCAGCAGGGCCATGACCAGATGTCCTCGGGCTTCCAGCACGAGCGGCTGGTGTGGAAGGAGGAGAAGGAGAAGGTGATCCAGTACCAGAAGCAGCTGCAGCAGAGCTACCTGGCCATGTACCAGCGCAACCAGCGTCTGGAGAAGGCCCTGCGGCAGCTGGCCCGTGGAGATGCAGCTGGGCAGTCCTTTGAGCTTGACCTGGAAGGGGCTGACATCCCCTATGAGGACATCATAGCCACGGAGATCTGAGGGGTTCCCTGGGGAGGGAGGGCTAGGGTCTTGTGGCAGGGGCCAGGGGCCAGCCTACTCGAGGAAGCCTCCTTGCCATCTCCCCTCCACAGCAACTCAGGCCTCCTGAGTGCAGCCCCAGGAGCTACCAGTGGTGAGCAAGGGTCACCACACTGCCCCCTTCCCCTGAGCCCACCTCGGCCACTTTACAGAGTGCTGGACCTTGGCGACTCCCCAGCTCTCCAGAAGACCGGCAGAGGGTCCCTGTGGGCTGGTTAAGGGCTCCCTGAACCTTGGTCTCTGCTCAAGCAGAGACCCTCTGCCCTGAAATGGGTTGCCAACCCTGCAGGCCAAATGGCCACCTCAAGGACAGAAGCCCCCTCCACATCTTGTCCCCGAACCCCTCACCCCAGATACTTCAGGGTGCCTTGGGGACAGAAGGGGGTCATGTGTGCCCCAAAGCCCTGGTCTGTCGTCATGACTCGAGCCCTGCTCCTCTGGCCTCAGAGGCATGAGAAGCGGTCGAGGTGCAGAGGGCTGAGCTAGGAGTACCTGAGGCATATTAGTGGTGTCTGACCTCCAACTGAGCCGTGCAGCTCCCAGACAACTGGTGGCATTTGCCTTGATGGCCACTCCTCTCAAAGCCATAGACACAGAGGCCCTGGGGCTGGGTGCTGGGACAGGGACCTGAGGGCCTGGCCTTGCAGCTGTCCCTGGAGAGCCTCTGAATGCCCCACCTCAAGCAGGCAGGGATTCTCTGGCCCATGGCCACTCTGCAGGGTCTTCTCAGACCTCAGGCTACCTGCTGACCCAGAAGGCCCCTGTGTACTCAGAGGGTGCCTTGTGATTTGGGAGTTTCCACCTGTACGTCTGGCCCAAGCTTCTTTCCTCTCCCTGTGACATCTTCAGTGTGGAGTGCTGGGTGTGCACAGGTTGGGATGGGTCTGCAGGTCTGGACAGGTGCCCAGGCATAGGAGGGGCATGCGCACACGCGCGTGCATGCGCGCGCGCACACACACACACACACACACAGCCTTATGAACAGCTGGCCGCTGCCCTTCCTCCACCTTGTGTCCCACAGAATCCCCAGGCCCCGGGCTGTGAGTCCCTGCTGAGAAAGGCCATCCAGGGACACAGCTAATGCCTGTGGGAGGCCGGGTTTTCTCTTCTAAAATGTCCAGAGCAAGGGAGAAAGAACAGCAGTTTCTTGGTTGCTAGTGTCAGAGAGTTTTCTTTCTTTTTCCCTTTCTGGTCTTCTCAGAAGCAAGCCAGATCTAGCAGGCAGCCCGGCTGCTCCACATTCTATTTTTGACACAGCCGCAGCTGCTCTTGGCAGGACAGCAAGCGCTCTCTGGATTCCTGCTCCTCACGCCTGCAGAGAGGGGCCAGGGTGGAGGAGTGACAGCGTGCCAGAGTCGGGTCCGAGCAGTCTCCAGCTCGGGCTTCCTGCTACACACAGGCCTAAGCCCAGGGCAGGAGTGGAGCTGCTCCCCTCAAGCCCACACCTGGCCCTGCACTGAGCGTGGGGCTACCCCGCCACCCACGCCACCTCCTGTTGTCCGGGTTAGGCCGTGTCTTGCTGGGCTCCTGTGGTGGGTTTTCCCTGGAGGCTGGATTGAAACCTGGAACTGCCAGGCTCAAGGGCCCCACCCTGTCCCTCTGCTTTTCGCAGTCCAAACCCCCAAAATCATGTGCTGTGTTGGAGGCCTTCCCCCCGGTGAGACTGCCCCATGGGGAGCAGGAACTGAGCCCTTCCTTGGGCTGAGGATGCCCCCAAGAGCGGGCAGGGCAGGGCAGAGGTCAAGCTCACCCACCTAGAGCTCAGTCTTCCCTTCCCATGCCCCTGTGGCCCGCCCATCTCAGATGCCCCAGTGACCCAGGCCTTGGCCACCCTCCAAGAAGGCACGCCAATACCCTCGCTGGGCTGCCAGCCACCCCTGGCCCCAGGGCGGCAGAAAGGGACACCAGATGTAAGTGTGCAGCAGTCTCCCCTTCTGTGGGCTCCGCTCTCCCCAATGAGAGCGCCTCACTATTCTCAGACCTCACCACACCGAGCCTTTGAAGGGAGACTGGGTGGCAGAGGCTCAGCAGGGCTGGGGTGGCTGAGCTCAGGGAGGCATTCTGGGGGTGCTTGCTTGCTTGGACTCACACTGCCTGTTCCTCAATAGGTCCCAGGCTCTGGGTCTCTGCAAGGAGGGGTCACCTTGGATGTCACAGGGACCAGACCGTAGGCACCTCGCAGGGGTGGGAGTTTGCTGAGCCATGTGGCCCTGACCCCAGCCTGTGCCACCTCTTAAGTATGGAGCTATCCAAGAGGAAGCCAGGCTGGGCTGTGGGAGCAGCAGCCCAGGCCAGGGATTCCCTGTGGTCCTGCCCTGCTGGAGCTTGTGACCCTGGCTGGTGCCGCCTGCTCCCTGCGCCTGACCCTGCCCTCTGCTGTCTGTGGCGAAGCTGGCTTTGGGTCGACCGGCCCTCAGAACACTGTATATAGTTATTTTCCTGTCCATTGTTTCTGGTTTGCTTTGCATTGCTTTCGATGACTTCATCTTTTATTTTTGATGTCACTTTTTGGTCATGTAAACTATTTCTGGTAATGTTGTGTTTTTATTTATAAATAAAGAATGCCATTTCTCATGGCCTCCGTAGTCACTTCTGCCTCCCACGCTGCCATCCTCTCCTTGCTGAGGGGTGGCGGCTTCTGGCAGGGCCCTCACCTCTTGAAATAAAGGATCTGGGGAGGCCTGAGAGGAAGCCGCCTGGGCCCGGGGGACAGCCAGCTTGGTGACCTTACCTGTGTACTGGGACCTGGGGCCACCGAGGGGAGGAAGGCACCAGGGCGCACGTTCCTCTGCAGAGTTGGGGTCCCGCCTGTCTCCTCAGCCATCTGCTCAGCTCACAGCAGATGTGTGGCCTGCTGCACATGGTGTCCTGGCAAGAGACCAGTGTGGCTGTTACTGCTACTACTTCAGGGCCTGACTTGGGAGGTGGTGTCAATGCAATAGCCATCTGTCCCGCCTGCCTGGTACCAGCCTGCAGGGTCCACCTTGACAAGTGTTCTTTACTGTTCTGGGTCAGACCCCAGGCCCACAGGGTGGCTGCTTGGTAATGGGAGACAGAATGGATGGACAAAGAGGGAGCTGGGATGGGATCAGTGCAATAGGGTTGGTGTCCCTGGGAAGTGACAGGCAGGTGAGGACATTGGGTCAGGGCAGGACATAGAGGAGGAACAGGAGGGAGAGGATGACATTGCACCAGGAGCAGGACTGATCCACCCAGGAGGCTCCCTGATGGAGCTGGGTGGGCAAGGAAGTCACTGCAGCGGCCCGCAAGCCAGGGGAGGTCAGCAGGCGGAAGTGACCACACGGGACAGCACCACCCTGTAATTCAAAAGCCCCGACTTTGGGACCCTTTTTAAAAAAAAATTATTTTTATTGAGAAATAAATATGAATGAGACAGTTTCACAGCTGACTAATAGGACAGTTCTGATAATCAATACACTGTACATTGTTATCTTCTTCGTGGTTATCCATGGTACAAGAAGCAGACAGGATATTCTGTCCAAACACTGTTAGTACACCTCTTCTCATTGAATTAAGCAAAAGTAGCTGTAAATTTATCCTATTTTGGATATATAAATACAAAATGATCTTTCCTTTGTATCCTTTTTTTTTTTCCAGTCAGAGGTGAGTATTCTATCGGCATCTAAATACTATAGGTGAATTCAGCTAAACAATCCAACACTGTCTAGCAGTCTATAATATTAGTAGGTTATCCTCAGAAATTATTGACTTGAGTCTTTTACAGCTCATATTAATATGGATTTACTCTATATACCTCATTTTTATACTTTTCTGATGGATGGTTAAGACCAAGATATAGCAAGACCTATGTAACAAGAAATGTAACTTTTTTATCTGATAAGGTCAGCCAAGTACTCTCAGGATTTATCCTGTAGCCCTGTACCGCCCTTTGTACATCCTTTTGTCAGTGTCTAACATGAGGATGAGTCACGGCCATTGCTTGACCAATTTGCTCTCTGTGCAAGCTTGAGAAAATGTTTTTTTCTCTCCATGTGACTCTCCCCAGGCTCACTTTACATCATCGAACACATTCCTCTGTGGCTCCATCATCTTGATCAGAAAATTTGGAGCACAACTGAGTTACATGTTGTTACAGTACAGGTTCTATGGGACCCTTTTAATGGCAATTTTTTTTAAGCCACTGAAATCAGGGTGGATTACCCCAGAATGCCTTCCAGTGGCCCCGCCTTTGCCACCCTAATATCAAGGATTGGTGTCTAAGCGGAGTCCTTGGCCAGGCCCCTGTGGGTGGAGGGGCACAACATGGGGAGCAAAGGTGTCCCCACCACTTCCTGCATAATCCTGTTGGGGACTCAAGCCTGCCTGGAGCGCCCTCACCTTATTTCAGAAAAGTAAACCTGAAAGAAAACACAGAAAGGGAGAGCTCCGACTCTGGACCATGGGCAGATCAACCCTCGGCCTCCGCAGCGCCAGTGCAGGGTATTTTTATCCAGCCTTAAGACTGCACAAGCGTGCCTATGGGGAGGAGGGCGGATCCGGAGCCTTCCCAGTTATCCTCAGCAGCAGGTGCTTGAGTTATTTGAGGAGGATCATGGTGCCCCAAATTTCTTCCCAACCCAGGCGTCATCAGGCCTGAAATAGTCACCCTTTCATTCAGCGTCGC